GTATAAACTTTTTGTACAAAAAATTATTGTTTAGTTTATTTTTAATAATAAAAGAACCTTCAAATCATTGAAAGTTGGCTTCTAGTAATTTATTTTAAAACCTAAGTTCTATTTTGTTAACTAACTTTAGAACTGTAGCTGAAAAGTTTCCTTTGCAGTTGAAAGAATTTGAAATATCTTTAGTGAGGATATTGGCAAGCTTCTAGTTTTTAAGTTGTACTTGTTTGGATTTAATTATAGTAAACTTGCCAGCTATTTCTTTGTTATAAATTTGTTAATAAATTTTATAATTTGAAATTCTATTTGAATATTTCAAATACTTTTTAAGTTAAAGGTGTTTCTGTTATAAATAGTACTGTTATAAATAATACTATTAACTTATGCTTTATAATTAAGAATCTTATTATATTGTCTTGTAAGCTTCTTGTATTTTTTTGTAAAATATAGCAATTTTGGATTTTATATTCAATTCTGAGAATAATGACTCTGTTGAATATATAAAAAGTTTGTTTGTCAATTGCTTTTTTGTTTTTAAATATAAATATTATTTTGTCAGTCTTTTATTGAATTTTATAAATTATAATCCTTAGAAATTATGTTGAGTCTTGAGTTTTCATTCTGTAAAACAATATCTAATCTATTTTTACCTTTACAAAATTATTTTTTTGACTTTTATATTGTTGATATTAAATAAAATTAATTTGAAACTATTAATTTATAAGTTATTTGCTTTATAAAATTTTTTAGCTTTGTCTAGAATTTTTTTAAGATTTTGTTTAAAGTAAAATATTTAGATAATGTTATTTATATATACTATAACTACATTGTATAGCTTGGATTATCAGCTAAAATATTTAATTTTTAAGTATATTATATAGTATATTCTAGATTTGAATTTTCTTAAATTTTATAAAGTAAAAAATCATAAAAGATTTATTATAAAAGTAGTAATATAACATTTTTCTGATTTATATTATTCTTACTATAACTATATATATCAAATTAAGATTTGTTAATATTAAAGGTTCTTATTTAAAACAATACTATTAATAAGTTTGTTATAAATATTGATATTTTAAGTCTAATCAGGATTCTATATAATATATTTAATATTAGTAAGGAAATAGTATGGATACAACTGCTTAAACATATTCTAATATATTATATGTCTTAATTTTCAATAATAGAAAGCTTATAGTTTATAATATATATAAAATTATGATATAATTTTAAAAAGCTTAAATTTGATATTGCCTTAAATAATTTATTAATTACAAATAGACTATTTTAGCTTAATAAGAATTGCATAACATGATAATAACTTAATGATAATGTATCATACTAATATAAAAAGAAAACAGAATAAAAATAACAAAAGTAATAGTAATAGGAAACAGAAAAAATCAAAACAATAGATATAATAATCTTAGAAAAAGATTGTTAATAAAAAAAAGCTGCTTTTTAATAAAAAACTTTCTAATTAAGATATATAATCAATATTGTCCAACTGAATAAAATCTAATTAACTTATTTAATTCAATACTTGTCATGAGAAAAAGGCATTTAGAATCACAAGAGAAAGTGATAAAGACTGGTCAAAGAAGTGAACAACAAAAAGAGAAAGAAAAGATTATTAGAACTTAGTTAAATAAATTATATGCTTCAAGTAAAAAAGTAAAAAACTTATCTAATGTTATATGAGAAGTGCTCCAGAAAAATGACAGACTTGCTGAAAGAGATATTAATACTAGGTTAACAATATCAAATACTTAGCTATATTTTAAAAAAAATTTAAAGTTTTTTTTTTGTTCACTTGCTTCTTTACAAATATTATTAATAAATTGTATTTATTTTTATATGGATTCTTCTAGAAATTCTATAAAATTTGATTTTCTAATAATATTTTTTTCTTTAATATTAATAATAACCTATTTGTAATTAATTTTATAAAGTATTTATATATTGTTTCTATTAGTACTTATAATTTAATATTAACAAGATTAACTATCCAATTTTTTTTGAATATTGGATATATATTGTTTTGTTTTTATAATTTTGAGATAATGCTTGATATAAAAAAGATATTAAACAAATTAATAAGTAGGACTTCAAAAAGTATTAAATTGATATCAAATAGTATTGAAATAGTACTAATCTATAGAAATTTAATATGAATTTATAGTAAATTTAAATATTAAATTGATATTGAAATAATATTAAAACAATACTATTAGAAGTTCTATTGATAAGTAATGTTTTATTTTAAGTTTTGAGTTTTTTAAGGATTTATATAATATATCAGAAGGTCTGAAGGCTTATTGTTTAAAAGGTTTTTAAGAATTTTTTCAATTTTAGAAATATTGAATTGTTTTAAAAGTGATTGAATCATTGATAATTTATGAAAGGGTAAAGTTTATATTGATCTTTTCAAACTTTATTAAGATTATTAAAGTTAAAATCTTATTTTCTAAATATTTAAGAATAATATTTTTCTACCTATTGATTAATTTTTTGGAATTGTATTGTTATATATTTAATATAAATTTGAGATTCATTTGATGCAAGATATACATGTGTTTGTATTACTATAAAAGAAAATTTGATCGACAATATGATTCTAAATTAAATATGAATTCCAATTATTTATTATATATTACTTAGTAATTTTACCATAATATAGTTTTTGAAAAATGGTTAAATTCAATTCCATTATATGTATAGTGCAAGGATGTGTTTATCTATTATTGATATTATAATTTAATTAATTTTTATAGATGCTTTATAATATATATTTGTTAGGATATATTATTTATATATTAAATTTTTAATAAATTTCTTTTGTTTTGAAAAAGATATATTATATAAATAAATTCCAAAAAGTTTTTTTACACATTGTATTATTATTATTAAATATATTTAACTGATTTAACAATTGAATAACATTGACCTTTGGGTCTATAGTACAGTAGTTAGTGCTCTATAGGTTAAATCACAAGATATCAGTTCAACTTTAAGTGAAGGCAGTTAAATAGAATTAATATGGTATCTGGCACCATAACCAATCATGTACTGTTTCTTATAAGAAGTTATTCACATGCCAATCCGGTAAGGTGTTGAGATTGTGATTTCCTGTTAAGATGTTGTAGTGTAATGGTTGTTTGGTTGGTGCATAATGATCATCATAAAGTCACTTCATATATAGATTGTGTAGGTTCTCCTATATATGTTGTATCCAATAAGCCTCATTTTGACTCATTCCAAGATTTTTTAATTTGGAGCTATTCCAATCTGGCGCTTGGATTTTTGGAAAAGGATCTATCGAAGCCGTAGGTGGTGACAAGAAGCAAATATCTCTTCTGAGAGATTCAAACGAAAAGTATCGAGATGTCCAGAAATCTAATAACCAAACCTCTGTGGGATAGACACAGCTTTTAAAAACCAGGTTATAGGTTAGGTGGTTTAAACTAGTGGTAGATATTCCCTCCCTATAGAAACCCTACCTTTGGTATACAGTTTATATGTTGGGTTCAAAAAGATGGATAGTAAGCTAATATATCACAGTATTAGGCAGTGTTGGTTTACAATTGTAGACTACATAATTGGTACAAACAGTACAATTTTCAATTGTAAAAAGACACTTGATGTATTTTGAAGATTACTCACATATCAATAAAAGATTTGCATCATTGCATATTTATCTATAAAAAAAACAAAAAACAATTGAATAACATTATTTGAACTAATGTTTATTGGATGTAATATAATTATTATAGTTAAAAATCTTTTAAAATAGATTTTAAAATTATTTGATATATAAAACTTTATAAATTAGTTATAGTATATTCAATATGTATATATTTTTTAAAAAAAATCAATTAATAATATTTTAAGTCAATAATTATATTAGTAATAATATAATGATTTTGTAACCAATATCTCATAAACTGTACTGTTTTGACGAAAGAAATTTTAATTCATATCTTTAGCAATTTCGTTTGTTTTAAATTTCTTAATAGCAATTTAACACGCGATAATTTGTTTTCTTACACTCTAACTGTTGGAATGAGAATGCACCCATCACTGTCATCAAATATAGGGTTTTTTTGAAATCCTTTCCTAGCTAAATTTCTTTGCGCGATTTCAAAACCTTAAAGACTCCTTTTCCGAGATTTGTCTTTCAGTTCATGAACATGAATTATTCAAATAAAAAAGCAACCAAGAACGCTGACAAATTATTTTGATTACTCTCATAGGATGAAAAGTTCATATTAATAAAATTAAGCTTTCATGATTTATCCAATTTTACGCACCCGAACATGCGCCTTCTCAATTTCGACTTTAGAAGACTATCGAGTCATATGATGCAAACTCTGTTTTATCCATAAATTGCTTGTAAAACGTTGGTTTTTACTTCAATATAAACCCGATATAGTAGAACGTTACAATTAACTTTTCGTGCGGATTCCATAGGAAATCAATGCATTTCCAGGGGTCACAAGGCGAGGTCATTCAGTTTTGCGCTACCAAAACATATTCTAATGTGTACTGTCTGACAAGTTTCGCATGACATCATAATTAGAAAGAAATTCTTTAATTTCGACTTAGGGTCGCTCATTTATTACTTAACGTCCAATGAAGATGCAAAAAATGGTGGCACATGAAAAAAACAAAATTCTTGGTACAACGCATACTCAAATGTATTTAAACCGTTACTTGTATTTGACCCATTGAGAATTTGTTTTCGTAAATACCGTCCTGTGATTATTGTGTTTGAGTATACTGTTAAATAAATAATTAAGAAAAACTTTCTGGCGGATTGGAACTCCGATATTTTTTGCCATGTACACTTCCAATATAAACTTTAATGATGCAAAATTTTTACATGGGAACGGAATAATGTACATAAAATCACGTGCCTTATTTAGTTTTTATAAAAAGTAGACTACTATTCTTTAAGAAACAAAACTATTCATTGTATTCGATACGTCAAATATACAAACATGCCTAGATATAATAATAATAGGAAGTATAAACGTGGCAGATTTAGCGCGGAGGTAAAAATAATAAAGAAAATCTTCATAATCAATATGTCTTGTTTGCTTTCAAAAAAATTGTCTTATTAAAAAAATGAACTAGGAGGATGCAAAATTGAGGGAATATGTTGAAAAATATGGTGCCAAAAACTGGAAAAGAGTCTCGTATCATGTCGGCACGCGAGATGCAAAACAATGCAGGGAGAGGTATGAAGAATTTTCTTTCGTTCGTGTCTGTA